CCCAGGCTCTAACAGGATGTGATTTGTGACCTCACAAATTTCAATCTGTTGTTCATCAGTGAAAGAAAGATCAAGATCACTTCTGTATCAAGGATGATATTGTAACTATTGTAGCTACATCTTTCTTATATGTGTATGTTTATACTGGAAATTCATTAATTAGGTCCCTCTATAATGTGAAAAACATCCACGAGTTGTTCTGTGACAGTCTTTCTTGGTGTCCACTTTCATACCTTGTTACATAGCTAAGAAAATACATTTATTTATAAGTTCTATAAAGTGTTTTGATGCTTAGTTCTGCTTCCTCATAGCTCCTGTGTTCAATGTCAGCCAGGAACATCTCTTTCTGTGGAACTTGCATGTTTTAACAATGTTTGTTGTATGCTCTGGTTTCCTCCCACCTCTCAAAAGCATGTGGCTCACCAATCCACTACCGCTTCTTTAAATTGCCCATTCTATGAGGAAGGGAGTTGAACACTCTACATGATTACTTGGCCATGATTACTCTGATGCTTTTCTGCATTATGCTCAGACCTGATTATGGGTAAAAGAAACATATACTCTATAAATAAAATGACAAGCAATTGTTAGATACGGCTGTTTATCTCATTTTGTCTAATTTAGTCTGAGATTTGACTATTTTAGTTTATCTCATTTAGCCATTTTCACAAGCCTTTAGTGTTCAAATTTTTTAGACCAATGTATAATTGGTTAATTTTATTTGACACAGTAAAGCCATCAATTAACTAATTTGAGGAAAAATGAACTGTTAATTACTGATCAGAGCAAACATTTCGGTGACATTGTCGCACACTATTTTGTACAGTTTGAACTGCATTAATGATACAATTTGTATTATACCAGACAGAATTTCTCTCTCCTTGAGACTTCTGACAAAGGAAAAAAATCATGCTGTGACAAAAATGATAAGACTTGTTTTGGTTTTTGAACGTTAACCGATCCACTGTTTCTTTCACATATTTTGATGCATATTTTGACTGCATTTAAATGTAAAATCCTCATGTACAGTTCAGCTATAGAAATAACAAATCATGATGTTACAAGCCCCATGTTAAACAGAAAGAACTAGATTTTTTTATTCTTAAAGGCTGTGCTGGATTTCCTGTAAATATATCATTGCTGGTAAAAAATAGTTTTGTCTTGACAGTTGTACCTTGGAAAACTGTTCATTGTTGAAAATAAATTATCACTATTCTGTCACATCTGCTAATTCCAGAATCTTCTAGCTTATCTCTTCAGAACTGTGTGTGTTGATTGAAAGTTTCCTTAGACTTTTCAAAGATTTAGTTTTCCTCTTTTTTCCAGGAAATATTTCCATGAAATGCTGCAAATAATTGGCACAAGACCTGGAAGAAAAATCTCAAGTTTTAGAAGCTGTTCAGACTATCAGATAACGATATAATGAGTATTTCAACACTTTGGTACTATTTGTGATACAGTACCTCTACTCTGTCCTTGATCTTCATTCTGAAAGATGTCAATTGCACACAGTGTAACAGAGAGATGGTATCTCACGGCATAATGGCAGGTCTTCTTCAGTGGTCTATTTCTATGACACAGGCAACATTAGGATGTTGTATAACTTGTCTTCATTCTAATGAGATTAGGTTACCTTATACCCACATGTTACCAGACGTTGGTGCTGTATGTATTAAGAGACTCTAAAATCTGATGTGTTCTGAGGTGCAGCGCAGGCTAGTAGAAACCAGACACAAATAAAAGCAGGAATGGGTGTGCTCTTGCCACAGTGAGCACCCCTCTCAGGTGATCTACAATGGTTCTTATTCATTGATAACAATACACTTTCAATACATATTCAATAAACAGTCGAGAAACTGTGGAATGATTAACTCTAACAGCTCTGTTTACCTGCAAAGTATTCATTCTCTCCTTGTCTTCCCTAAATCTCTTTCAAGGTCTTCAAAACAGAAATGAGGCGAGGACCCTGGTTTTTAAAAAGTTGGTTAAAGGTCACTAGAAGTAAAACTAGATTCAATCAGATTTACCAATTTTTGCAGTATGCAAAATGCAGTGGTCAGTAAGGAGGAAAAGCAACAAATCTAGCCTATGCACTTGGACTCCAATCACTATCATTAACATACTTCTGAGTACCCAGTCTGTACAGTTCAAGCCGTCCAAGTTGTGGCATAGCGCACCACACCCTCTAAGCCTACAGACTATGGCATCCCACAACAACCAGCCAGTATAAATAAACAATACAACATTGTAAAAGAGCTGACCACATAATGCCATTAACTGTGCATAAGTTCACTGTATCTCCATAAATCCTATCACTGTCTCATTCATGATACTCAGTCAGAACTTTCTATGTCAGTGATGTATCCAGTCTCAGTACCATTTCAAGGATCATGGATCATAGAAGGGTTTGCAGTAATCATAGTGCAGTGTTGGAAGGGAATCAAATAAGAAATTATTGCACAGCATTTTGATGTATTTCAGGTTTTATGAGCTTCGAGCTGTGGTGTTGTGAAGCAGGTGTTATCTGTCTTGAGTAGATTTGCACATACAGATGTGAGCTTAAGCATTAGATTCATATCATATATGTTTTTGTTTTTTGATTGGGAATATGGTTTGGGGTTAGAATTTTGGTCATATACTGTCCAGAAACGATCATTCCAAGTAAAATAAATAAAAAATAAATACTTATTAATTCTATAAAGGATATAGTATCTTAAAATAATAAAGTTATTAAGTTCTAGTAGGTCCTTTTGGATCTAACATTAAACATACAGCTGAACTGAACCTCCATTCATTTTCTAGCCACTTCATCCAATTCAGGGTTGCAGGGGAGCCTGAACAATAATAGACGTGAGGCAGGATACACCCTGGATGGGACACCAGTCCATTGCAGGGCAGACACATAGACACAAACACACACATTCACACCAGGGACAATATTTCCAGAAGCCAATTAACCTACCACCATGTTTCTGCACTGCGGGAGAAAACCAGAACATCCAGAGGAAACCCGCAGAAACACAGGGAAAATACATAAACTTCACACAGCTAGCATTCCAGGTCTGGAATTAAACCCCGGGCCCCAGCATTGTGAGGCGGCAATGCTAACCACTGCACCACTGTGTTGCCCTGAATTGCTTGAAGCAGATAGAAGAGAAAAATGTATTACATTGGTGCATTGCTCTTGTCAGTTCCCAGACCTTAATGTCTATGAAATGCTATGGGCTGAGTCTGACGGACTGAAAAAGATTGTGATTAGCATACTGTAAAGAGACAGTTGGAGATTATTAGGTGGATGGAAAATATGCAGGGACCCTTTTTGTCCCAGGATCCACAGAATGTGTTTTTTTAAACACTAAAAGAAAAGCGCACAGTTCCCTCAGCAAGCCCTTCTCAGAGAAGGTGACAAGGCAGAAGTAAATTAAGTTAATTTATCAGCCAGGACACACCCTCCCCAGTAATACAGCTTCCCCAGTAGAGACTGCAATTACTCTTATTACACAACTTCCTCATCATTTTCTGTAGTGGTGTTTACTTTTAAGTAAGAGCTACTCTAGATGTGGCCCTCTTAATTTATTCCCCTACCTAACTTTGTTATTGCCTTCACTGTGATTTGGATGTTTGTTTTGCTCATTATCTCTTAAATACTTAAGGAACTGATTGTTACAAAATTTCCCAGTGCAGTGCTTTGGAAATGCCAGAAGTTAAATATGGAAGTCTCCTTCAGGAATACAAAAATATTCTTAATGTGATAGCAGCAGTACTATCTTAAAGCCTGATCTTTCTTCAAAAGCTTAAAAAAGTTGGGCATGATTTGAACTGTGATAGGAAATCAGGTTTCTGCTGTGTGTGATGTGGGCATTCTTTTCTAAGGACCTGAATATCCAGCTCAATACCTGAGTACTGTAACTTGGGATGCTTTAGGTGAGATGTTAAACTGTGGTCCTGACTACTTGGTCATTAACAAAGTCCCCTGAATTGGGCTGTTACCTGGCATTTAGGCTGATTTCCACTTTGTGCATGCACAATCTGGTCAACCTCAATTTCTCATTTAATTCAATTAGTGAAGTGATTTCCTACTTCTCAGCCTGACTTGTGGTGTTTTGTGGCTGTGTATCACCCAGGTGGTCGCTACACTTCGTTGGCTAATGTGGAAAATGCTATGTAATGTTTTAAAAAGTGCTATTGAAATGCAAATAATTATTTATTAGTGGTTATCATTGCTGCCTTACAGCTCTGCAGCCCTGGGTTCAATTCCATGTTTGTGTGGGTTTCCTCCAATAGTCCAAAGACATACAGGTAGGTTAATTGGCTTCTGGGAAAAAAAAACATGCAAGTCTAAGTGTGAGCCTGTGCATGTTTGTGTCTCTGTGCCTGCCCTGCGATAGACTGGTGTCCCATCTAGGGTGTATCCTGCCCATTGCTTGCCGGAATTGAATTATAGTTATTAATCCATGACTGAAAGGGAATTAAAATATAAATCATAGTCCTTACCGCTTGCTATTCTATAAAACATTTATAATTATGAACCCTAACTCCAAGACATTCTGAAAGAAATGTTAACTTTGTTTTTAAAAACTAATTTCACAGTTAACATCAAAATACATACATTATAACTACTAGTCGTCTTCCAGGTCTAAGACCTTTGCATGAGAAGAGCTTCTTATCTTCTATGCAATCCTTGTAGTCAGCAAGGAAGGATATTTCATAGGAGGGATATAAGAAGGTTATTTTAGTGTTGCCCAAAGAATGGGTTAAATACGGGTGTTTGCTGCAGTTCAGCTATAAAGGAGTCCAGAATAGTGTTATTTTCAAGAGCTGTGCAACGGGGGCTGGGTCTGTTTGGCACGGATGCGCCACCGCTGCTCCCACATGAGAAGCTGGCTGGATTTGTGCTGGCGTGCGACATCTCTGCTAAAGAAAGGCGGAGCTCAGGCTGCCATGTAGGCGCGGCCTCAAGCGGGCTGATGCTGACGGTGTTTGATGGACGTGTCTCATTGTGCTCGCCTCTAGGTTGAGGAAGTTGGGCTCTGGGCGGATAATTCTGGTACTGGCCGTGTTTTTGCCGAAGGGTTTACCAAGCGACGGCGACTTTTTGGTCGTTTATCTTTTCTTTAAAATAAAAGACACCTTCAACTCACGTTGTTGGGAACTACAAGGGGAACTGCGACCGGTTAGTTGCTTTTAGTTTTTCGGTGGAGTCTTCAGGTTTTACCCCGTGGCGATCTTATTTTTACGTGGAGCTGCAAGTTGAAATCGTGGCACTGTATCGCTTTACGGGAAGGAAGGAACATTCCGCTGGTCCCGGGGCTGCTGCGTGCGAGTGAGTTTCAGTGTGGTGTCCCTGTCTTTCCGACTGTTGCCAACCGAAAGACCGGTTTAAAACCATAATGAGTCGAGTCGATATCATTTCCCCCTATTCATCTCTTAAATGTATGTAATTCTCTCACCTGTAGTGGCCGATGGCAGTTCATGAATGTTATTTTTGTGAAGCTGTTGGTTAAGACTGTGTTTTAATGGAATGCTGCACATGGAGTACAGCTCACTTAGCCGATGTGTGGAGAAGGATTGTCGGTGGCCATTCATTGTTACAGTATTTTGTGAACCAACCGTGCTCTGCTCGAAGGTTTCGAATTGTTTTAATATATGTATTTTGTAAGATTTGTATTGGTCTATTTTTAACGTGACTTGAAGAATAAAGCCGGTTGTTTTAGAGCAGGCAGGTTCTTTGGGCTGGTCTGCATCAAATAAACTACATTATTGTGCTAAAATGACGCACTGGGAGGTAATCTGCTTAATTTTCAAATCCGTCTCTGAATTGCGGAATTAGTCTGTTTATATGACGTTAAGTAGATACAAGTTTTATAATAATGTCATTTATTTTGTTTTATTGTGCAAATTTCTTCCAGTTATTGTTGTAATTCAAAGGCGGGTGCGATGCAGTGCCATGTTTTATCGATGTTGCATTTTAAACAATGCTACAAAGAAAAAAAAAGCCCTCTGTTATTTGTGAATTACTTAGTTCCTTTGAGGAACTCTACTTTCATACCAAAACCTAATTACTATGTTCTACATAATGTAGGAACTGTATGATACTATATATGTGTCTCAGCTGCTGGATGTGCAGTGTACTTCAACTTAAGTGTAAGCTCGACTGATGATAATGTTTCCTTTTTACTTTTGGGATTTGTATACTACCCTGTTGGGGACGATTTGTGGTGGTGATGATTATGATGATCATACAGTACATGCATTAGTTAAACTTCCGTTAATAGTGAAACGTCGTACGTTACAGTCGTTTCAGTGGCATTTTCTTTGCTCGGTATTGGATTCTGACTTTCCGATTCTCAAATGAATGGACTTTATTCGCTAACAGCGGGGGAACAGCACTACTCGACGTGGCCTGTGCTGCTAACGTCTCTGTAGGCTTTGTGCTGGGGCCCGCAAGGCGAGTTGGAATTACCTCTTGTCTGTCGAGGGTATTACATTTTGCATAGGACATTCTCCAAATTTCTGATACTATATAAACGTTGAAATCTCCGTCAGTAATGGGAAAATGGACGAAAATATAATGGACGCCGCTGTTCAAAAGCTTACTTCAAATTGTACTATTTGAAGTAAGGGTATCCAAATGTATAGATGTTTACATAGTTCGTTAGATGGAGTGACAATTTATCAATTGTTACAGCGTGCTTTTGAGGGCGTTAGTGTTATATTTTCCAATAGAAAAATATTGACCCTTGTGAACCACTTTAATTACCCGTTTTTGCTTTTGTTAAGGATATGTACGGAATGAAACATAAAAGATGAGACAGGTTTTCTCGTTTTAAAAAAAGACCCTGGTAATAAAATCAACAAGTTCAAACATTATCCACACTGTATTATTAAACTTGTTTAACCATAACACATAGACGGATAAAAGGAAGCCTGGATAATGTTAACATAAAACACATAGATATTTATGGCCTTATATATAAATACTGAACCGAGCTTTATAACAATATCAGTTACCTCTCAGAAGCGTGTTTAAAACGCTGTATCTGGCTTATAACTTAAGTAGCTCTGGGAAAAAAGCAAAGTAAACTCTTAACACTCAATTTAAATTTTCTAGGCCTTTTTTAATTTTATAGTGTATTGAATTATAATTATTCTTTTAGTGTCTGTTGTACCTGCTGTTAATTTTGCATTACTCTTGATTTTGTTTTGTAACATCCATTTTACTCATCTTTTCAAAAATGTGTTATCTTAAATGGATTCTATTTTGTGCCAGCAGACAGGAGAGCTAAAATCTTCTCAGGAGTAGATTGCTTTTTCTGGGGAAAAAAAGGTTAACGTTTTAAGCACGTGAGGTTAGAGGTTGATAATTGTTAGAAATTACATCTTAAATGTAGGAAATGTGGAGATTTGTATTGGAAATCATAAAATAAGTAATCCCCAATGACTGCATTTTCTTTTCCATGTTTTTAGGTCAAGGGTGAGATTATGGTTTCAAATCACATTGGTCACTTTGTGGTAGCACCCTGGTAGATTAGAATTCCTGGTGGGATTAAAGTGATACACAGGCACGTCTTTGCATGGGTGTGCTGTGTGTCGATCAGGCGTTGATTCTGCAGTTGCATTTGATCTCTAAATGCATTTTATGCCAAAAGAGCTTTTAGTTTTAATTTTTTATTAGTCTAATGAGTGGATCGCATGTTCGATAACCCCAAAATTGCAAACAGATTAATATAAAAAATATTGACTCTTTAGCATAATTTAATGAAAATGCTTGACAATGAAAAATTAAGCATGTGTGTTTAGGTCATGTATATCCCTAGGAATGCACATAGATTGTATAAATCTGTCTCACCCCGATGTTTTGTTCTTGAAGCATGTACTAAAGGTCTTCTGGTCTGTTTTCTAGGTCAGGGATGCATTTGGAGCGCTTCAGCCGAAGTCATTAGACAGATGGGCATACTGAGTCTGAAGCACCATGAAGGTGCAGCAGATTGCAGGACTTTAAAACGAAGTGACATTTTGAAGCATTGAAGAAAAAGACGGAGGATACAGAGGTGAGAAAAAGAAAGGAACAGCTATCTTAACCAAGAATCAAGAGAGGACATTTGTGAAGAATCTCGCAAAACAACGGACTTTCATGCTTTAGAAGAAGATTGACACTGTTTTTGTGCTTGTTGGATTTCTTGCTTTTAGCGAATCCTTAAAGTTCCCTATACATCTTACTTCAGGGAGTATAAGAAAACAAAACAGCCTTGCTTTGTAAAGCTGACAGGTTTGACAGAGGTTTGTTAATTTTGGTACATTTGGATTAATAATTTAAGTCATCAACATGAGTGCAGAAGGATACCAGTACAGAGCACTTTATGACTACAAGAAGGAAAGGGAGGAAGATATTGATTTGCATCTGGGAGACATATTGATTGTGAGTAAGGGTGCGTTGCTGGCTCTTGGGTATGGTGACGGTTTTGAAGAGAAGCCTGATGAAATAGGCTGGCTGCATGGCTTCAATGAAACAACGCAGGAAAAGGGTGACTTTCCTGGAACCTACGTTGAGTTCATAGGGAAGAAGAGAATTTCACCCCCAACACCAAAACCTAGGCCCCAAAGACCTCTGCCTGTTGCACCGGGGCCAACGAAAGCGGATTCGGACTCGGAACAGGGTGAGTTTGCATGAAGCTTGTATTCTACTAAGAGTGTCTTTGATATTGTTTTTAAGAAAACATCCGGTATCTTGAAACGTATCAAGACTTACCTTACTTATTTGCCATAACTTTTCCTATGGTCTTTTCCTGGTAGAGATAGGTAACTTGTCACCACAATAGTAAAAAGGTTCCAGTCTTCGATTGAGGAATATTCTGTGTTGAAGCAGTTTCATTTCAAAATAGGTAGTATTACGTTCAATGTAATTTTTCTTTAAAAATCCGTGAGGTTTTTGAGTGTTGTTTGATTTTTACAGTTTACAGAATCTCTTGAATTGAACTATTGATCTGCCTTCAAATACTTCAGTCAATGAATTCCATTCCCTTTCTGTGTGGAGATGTAATTTGCAGAAACATGCAGTAATTCAGATTGTCTGCTATGTTCACGTTCATGTTCATGTTTTAATTGGACTGTTGTATATGTAAAATAAATTAAAACACTGAGCTTTGTTTTTTGTAGACTTCCCAAATGTCATTGGATTCTGTTTAGTTCTATGAAGGGAACCTGATGTTTGTCATCCTGTACAAATATTCCCTGTTAGGAAGGCTGAAACTGAGATACCATCACCCATCCAGGTTTATGCATACAGAGTGTGGTTAGCCCATTTTTCATTTCTAGTTTCCTTTTATTGATTTACAAACCAAACTTTTCAATTTTTATTTGTTAGAAATTTAAGGTCTATTTTGACAGAAAGGTAGACTTCATATTGCACATGGCTTAGTCAAATGCCTGAGTCTTTGCTCATGTAACATTAGATTGTTCACCTTGTGTGATGTGGTACCAGTTACTTTATAGAAGCGTAGTTTAAGTGTACTTGTTTATGGTGTCAACAAATATTTGTCACCATGATGTGTTGTTGCACTGCTTATTGTTAATTGATTGCTGTATTACACAAATTTGTTTTAGTTCAGTTTAATTTAACAGGAGCTGAAAGTGAGGTAGATCTAGAGCCTGTAACATGTTCTGATTTGCTTGAGTATTTAAAATCTCTTTAACAGCATGATACTGAATTTATCAGAGATTAGATCATGAAGAAGTATACCGCTGTGTTTTCAGCAAATAGTCCATGCCAGTGACCAGGTGTTGATGCCCAAGATCTATATCTCCTCAAGCAGATATTTAATAAGATTTTCAGCTCAGCTGAAATCTGTGTAGTCTTTGTCACAGTTGAATAAAATGCTATGATTGTTTGACAAAACTGTGATGTGAACAAAATGCCACCCTTTAAGCCTGCAAAAACAACTTGTGTCTTTAATTGTTTGACTGTGGCAAGCACCGAATGTTCGGCTTATGGTAATGCAAAGCAACAGATGTGAGAAAGAGGCTGTGCAGCAGCAACATTCTTTGGCTCCCCACTGCTAAATTAATAGCTATGAGAATCTGTCCTAGTTTTTCCATCTTTCCTCTTCCTGTTGGTTTCATGATGCTGTGAATGAAACCAGTTGATTCAGCTGGCAGTGATTCCTTGCTTTCCCATTGCTCCTTTACTGCCCATATTGTTTTTAGCCATGACTTACAGTGAACACAGAGCACTGTGATACGTTTATTTCTGGTGATTTAATTTTTCTGTAATAGGTCAGCGTGTTTCGAATTGTTTTAGAAAGTAAAATCTATTTTAGGCCTCGGAAACACACGGTTTGTGCCGTGCTGTGAATGTCACCTCACATCATTTGCCAAACCACTTTATACCATACGGTGTCGTGGGAAGCCGGAGCCTACCTGGAAAGCAACGAGCGCAAGGCAGGGTACACCCTGGACTGGGCGCCATGCTGTGTATATATTGAGGACAATTCAATTAAGATTCAGTGTGGTCACCGTATGTGAAGAATGTAGGAAAGCATGTACAAGGCACCTGTCCAGCCTGTAATGCAACAGGATAGATCATTTCTCTCAGAGAGGCGTAGCAGGGAGTCTCATTAGATCATGTCTCAGGCCTGTAAAATTCCATCAGGGACCAGAGTTACTTCCCTGTGAGCTGCATGTGATCCCCTGATATGTACCTTTGATGTAATTGAAAGATTTTAATAAACTGCCTGTCTGAACATTTTTCCTTTGGTACCACAGAATGGGCACTGTAAACCTGTTTGTATACCCTTATACTTTTAATCAGAACTTAAGAAAATGGTGGATGTCCCTCCGTTTCATTAATGTGCAGGGGAACTCTTTTTTTATAGTGTAAAATAAGTCAGCATTTTTCAGAACCTCAGAACCAGCCACCTTAATTAGGCCCTACACATTTTGTCTAGTTACATATTTTTATTTCCTTAATTACCTTTATGATGAAAAGTTTTAAACGTGGGCTGGGAAGTGCTAATATTATGGTTTATTCTGAATACTTTTAAGAAAAAGAGGACACAATTAAAAATGAATAAACATTTTTAAGCATGTTTAAGAATGGCTACTCTAGAGGAAAAGCAAAAATTGGATTTTAAATTTATGAATTTCACGATCAGTGATGGGCGTTGGGTGTCGTTTATTTGTGTGACCACATTGCACTTCTGTGGAAGCTGAAGGAAACTGTGAGCAAAACTGTCAAGTTTTTTTGTTGCCTTCCTTTTATTTTCAATAAGATAACTTATTTCCATCTTGATGTTTTTTAAATATGTTGATTTAAGAGATTGATATCTTACACAATCGACTGCTGACAGGTCAGTGTCATATCACTTCTCCATTTTCATGTTAAGGCTCCAGGAGTGCTCGCACTAGCTACAAACATTGAGTTTGTCCTCCTCAGCTTTGCACTACTGCTTGGGGAGTCCAAGACCCAGTTGGCTAAAGGCAAAGCACAGACTCAAACCAGAAATGTCTAGACTTACTGGTTTAAACTGCTTCTTAGAAGCACCTTTCCTGCCAGTTAAGAGTCCCCATACGTTACTATTTTTATGAAATTATTTGTGTGACTAATCATCCGCCTACAGAAGGCATCTTTTAATGAAAAATGGACTGTAAATTGATATCGTACGAGGCCAGTCTATGATTAGTATGTCTTAAGGTGTCTAAACGATACCATACACTGTGGCTAGCCATAAATACAGTCGTGTATCAAAGTAAATGCCACTGAAGTTTATTAGGCCTGAGCCTTTTATTGCTTGGCTTTTGCTGGTAGGATGTAGCCTGGACAGTCCCGTTCATATTTTGGTACTGACATTGTGCAAAGAGCCAGACAGTATAACAAGTGCATCTCTTGGCAAGAGCGATTCTGATGTTTGGGGAAAATTTGCTGTTTTGTTTTGCTTAGTTATTTGATGTAGCATTAGGCTTGTTAGTACAGCTTAGAGGAACTGTATTTTATTGAAAAATGGTAGAGACTAATTTGGCACCTGATATTTAATATGTAAGGAGGCAAAAATACATGAAATATTTTTCTTTTGTGGTTAGGAAGTGGGCAAAATGAAGTTCTGGTTAGAAGCTTCACTATTTAACAGCTGCAAAATGGCAGTTATGTTGAGTGATTATTCCTCTGACACGACCAAATGATCCTACCACGTTGGTACTCTCTGTAGTTCCATTCATGTCTCCTTTTCACTGGCATTTTGAAAGGATGCAGTTGTTGGCTGTACAACTGGTCAATGAATCTTTCACATTTGTGTAAGTATTACTCTTCAGCAAGAGTTCAAATAAGAACCATGAAGTTGCCCTGCAGGCTTGTGCTATACAGTATATGATAGTTGAATAGCTGAGTACGAGAAGGGTGAGTAGTGATTATGCATTAAAAAATAGTGCAGAATCTCTGTCATTCAATTTGAATAACACACGTGTACTGTTCTCTTTTTTGGTCGGTAATGAAAGTCAGCGAGGAAGTTTAATTTATCCCTATTTTATACTGGTAAGGGGAAGATCTTTCAGCTTGAATTTCCTTATTGCTCCTGCTTCTAGTTACATACAGGACTTTTTTTGTGACTGAGAAAAAAAATATAAAGGAGGAATAAACTGCCTTAAACTTGTACTCTCTTAATAAAATGTTTAAGATTTTGTGAAAGCCTGTTTCAATGGATGACTTATCAAACGAAAAAACAGGATGTCTTGTTTTTTCTGGCTCAGAAGAATTTGACACTTTACAGTTGACTTAAAAGGTGTGCATTTTCATAAATGTGCATTTTGGCTAAAATAGTTTCAGAAAAAGAAAGAAATCTGAAGGTGTGCTAAATGTTTGTTTCAATGTGTTATTTGCAAGAATGTGTTATTAAATTAAACGCCTAGCTATATTGATAAGAATGTTCACTCTGTGGAAGGATGTTGTGATTTTCTTTTTCTAAACTGTCTAGAATGATGGAATGTATATTAGAATAAAACATAAGTCCAGGCTGATCTCCTCTATGTTCATCAGTTTTTCCCAGCTTCATCTTGGCTTTAACCTACATTCTCTGTAACACCAGTCCAGCTCAGCTGAATGCTAACTGGTCACACAAGACAATACAGCTGGCACTGCTCCAGATCATGGTGCATTGTACCCCCAGCTCCAGCCCTGGCTGGCTGAAAGTGCATGTGGTGTACAGTTCCTCTTTGTTACAACTGCATAAAAAGGAGATAAAATTGCATTTCTTTTAGCACAAAGGATTTTGCACATCTCGTGAAATTTTCTGCCGACTAATCTCCATGTGATGTAGATGACCAGCTTACTGGGGACTTATGTTAACGGAACAGACAGATTCCTAGGAGCAACTACAATACATTGCCTAGTTTCTCCCTAATATATCACACTGTATATTTGTCTTGGGTAAGAGGACATATTGTTTTATAAATGGAAGAGAAACTGTTGTAAATCCTTCTCTGGTTAAATTAAATGCTGCCCTTTTTGTTCAGATTCCAAGAAGCAAAGTATGGTTTTATTTATGGTAAATGGTTTGTGAAAATAGAAACATACGCAAATATATTTCATCAGTACTGACATGTTTGATGTGGCTGTTGCTAGAGAATTGCAAAAATGTTATTTTCTGTACAAGTGGTGATTTATGTAGAC